GGGAGGTTTCTGATCCAATAGTTGAACTATACATCAATCTTATCTGTAAATATGACCTACGATTGTGACATACAAACATTGTAGTTATAGGTTGATGGAAAGGGTTGAACTTTATCATGTGGCACATTCTGTCCCCTCCTTTACCAAATAAAGGGGGGGGGCATAAAAGTACAGAGTTTGTAAAAGCCTCTTTCATGTACTCAGCACTGAAAAATAACTTAATTTGTAATATTTTTCAGTTTTATCTACTCCAGGAAACATTAGAATCTATTTACAAAAACACAAAATTTGCTCCGTTTTCAGATGTCCGAAGATTGCCTCACTTTAAATATCTACGTCCCAGGTGACGTCATCGACAGCGGTCATAGCAATGTGACGAAAGCAGTGATGGTATGGATCCACGGTGGCGCATACAGGTCCGGGGCGTCCTCGGAATATGACTTCAGAAACTTTGGTTAGTTTTATAATACAATTTACGTCTGAATAAAAAGATTATACATAAAACCAGGCATGCACAGAAAGCATTATTTATTTATTTATTTATTTATTTATTTATAGAGACCTAAGTGCGATAATATGCCTATGGGTGAAAATTTAATTTGATAACAACCTTTGTCAATTTGCAAACCTTTTAAATGCAAATCTCACTTTATTTTTGATTTTGTCCTGCCATTCACAAGCCATCATTTTTATAATGTTTCCTATACCCAATGTAAAATTTTTATATTATATAATTATCATTTCATGAATAATATTAAATGCTACCAAATATGAAATATAATTATTGCCTTCGGTTAATCTTCACGATTTTTAATTTAATCAGCCACTCGAGGTGACGTTATAGTCGTTTCAATCAACTACCGCCTCGGAGCTCTGGGGTTCCTCAGTTTTGAAGATGCCACAGTTCCTGGTAATGCAGGACTGTGGGATCAGATACAGGCCTTAATGTGGATACAAGACAACATAGGAAATTTTGGAGGAAATCCCAACATGTAAGTGGCACACAATAATACACACATATATTGTCGAAGTTTCTACAAGTTTATAATTACCCCATGTTTCCTGTCGCAATTCGGGTCAAATCGACCTGCGTTTAGCCATATTCCATGAGGTCGAAGGTGCTTGTCTCACTTATGTAGAAATATCCTAGAGTATTTTTAACCAATCAAAATAGAGAGCTTTTGTTATTTGAATCAAATTATTCCATATATAGTTGTCACTTGAATGACGGGTTTGCTGAAAGTACCGACATCTTTACACAACGAATAATTGAAATGCACGAAAAAATGTCGTCTGAAAGTCATAATAGTCAGTACTACTATATTATACTCTCTAGGGTAACAATATTCGGTGAATCAGCAGGTGGCGCGAGTGCTTCCCAACTTTCGCTCACCACGGCCTCTCGGGGTCTCTTCCAGCGCGTCATTTGTCAAAGCGGCGTGGCTACAGCACAATGGTCGTGGGTGGCAGGTTCCTACTCAATTGCCCAGGATTTGGGTCGTCTCCTTGGCTGTACGACTACCAGCAAAATGCCCCTGCTTGCATGTCTGAAATCTGTCGATGCTGAAAAACTGATCAGCGCCAGCCGCAATGTTTCCCTGCCCAAAGGGGTGGCGTACGCCTTCACACCCACGATAGATGGCGTTATGTTCACGTCACCCGTGACACAAATGTTGCAAAAACCTGCTTCGGATGTTATGCAGCATTTCCTTTCATTGGACTTCATGGCAGGTTTCCTGAATTCTGACGGCGGAATCAGTCTACGTCTGTTGCCATTTGACATATCGGAAGGCATTTCGCCAGGATTATTACGGGGCAATTTTATCCCAGAATTTGCCAAGGACTTATCTTCGAAATTCAAAGACTTTATCACCGAGAAATTGCTTGATGTGTACTTTAATGCCAGTGCAGATAACATCACCACCGCGATGAGTTTAGTGGACATATTTACGGACACTGCCTTTGGCGTACCAACTGTTCAACTGCTAGCATCTCACGCGTCTCTGCCAGCAAGAACACGTGGTTCCAGCCATCTATATTACCTAACTATGCAACCATCATTTCCGCACGTCATCCGTGACACGCCAGATTGGTTTATCGGTGCCAATCACGCCGATGAACTACTTTATATGCTTGGTGAAGGGGCAACGGGACGGTTTAATGTTACTTTTACCCCACCAGAGAGACTGGTGTCTACGGCTATTATAACATACTGGAGCAATTTTGCCAAGACGGGGTAAGGTTGGCGTTGTTCTTTTTAAACCATCATGTTTGTAAACGTCATAAATATATATATAGCACGTTGGTAATTTTTCTCTTGTCTTCTCTTTCTCTTTTTTAAAATTTTCATCTTTAAATATTAACCTTTCCCTTTCGCCTCAGAAACCCAAACACGCCCGCATCATTACCCGTCCGGTGGCTTCCATTTACGTCCATCAACGGATCATACGTCGATATAGGGAACCCTGTCGAAGCAAGGATCAATTTACTACCAAAGCGCAGGTCCCTGTGGTTCCAGATTATGCAGCTCATAGCAACTGGTGGAACTACACCTCACACACCGATGACGTCACCCACCACGCCTCATGCATCTGCAGCTTCTTCACTGACGTCATGTCACACTGTTGTTGGATTGTTCGTATTTTTTGCAGTACATACGTGTTCTGCTCTATTTAAGAGTGAGACTGCTGTTTAACGATTTACTGTTTACGTGCTGCAGACGACAGGCCTACGACAGAATGGTAGATGTATCGGATGTACATTGCAAAACAAAAAATCATCGAAACAAATGTTCTAAGTGCCAAAAATTTAACTGAAGTTGAATCGGAAAAAAACATTACGATTATCACGACGCGCATTCTTGACCAACAGGCATTTGGATTCTTGACTGGATCATAATTATTGTTATTGAATAATTGAGCTGATTGATAATATAGAAAACCCGTTTATTGCGAAAAGATACTGGTAGACCCTAAGCGGACAGTCCGTCATTTGTATATTTCCTAAGGATATACGTTTTGGACTATAATTATTTGTGTAAAAGGACTAGCATGTTGCCGTTGTCACGCAGGGAGAGAAAATAGATAGTTCATTGAAAGAGTACTCTCTGCATTGGTTCTCAAAGCAATCTGACTGATAGTTATGTATAAAATATTCCTGCCTCAAAGTAAATAATTGTATGAAATGATACCGTTATGGACAGAACAAAAAGAGGTCCCAAAGATTCATTACCCGTATATCACACGTCAGAATGTATTAGCAGTTTGTGTAAATTATCTATAAGCAGCCACTACCAATGAGTTCAATGAGTAATATCCTTGTTTTACTTAGTGTCCTAAGTGACTTATCACTTCACTCTCTGTTAATGTTATATATATAGTTGTAAAAAAATTAATTCCTTTTTGTGTGTAGTATATAGTTAAACAAAAACAAAACAAACAAAACAAAACAAAACAAAACAAAAACCAAAAAACTTCTAAAATTCGGTCTTAGATCCTTAAGCCCTACTGGGCCTCTTCACGGTTATTTTGTAAAACTCCGAAGAGCCCCAGTAGTGCTGAAAGATCTAAGACCAACTTTTCAGGGTTTTGTTTTGTTATTTTAATATATATGAGTAACAGCTGGTAACCAACAATATTAACTCAGAACTTCCTATAGTCAAGACAAATATATTTTATGTACAGACATTTTGTCTGCGTCTGTCGTTGCCGTCGTCGCAGCGAACTTTCAAAGACAACATCATAAGTGGAAAGCCGTTTTAACTTTATTACCTTTAACTAACCGAGTCATTTTTGTTAGTTTATATTATAAACGTCAATTTGTTATCAAATATTATGAACTTTCATTTCTGTCGTTGGAGTAAACAGTGTGCTCCAAATACTGGTTCACCTTATTTCTTGAAAAAACTCAAGACAGGTATTCAGTGGCAGGCAGCCACATGCATATTTGTAATGTTACCCAAGACTTCACATTTATGAAGCTAATGCAACGTTTACAGCGGTCTTTGACCTTTTCATGACCGAACCGATCACGAAAGTATGATAAAATCCACCCACATTGTTCGTTCTCAATTACACTACTTACACCAAACCTCGGTTGCAACTTTTTTCACAATAATTTAACATTCCTCAAAGGTCTTGCGACTAGACGTTGCCGCATGTCAAGCGCGGTCTATGACGACTTGTCACGCCTGGGTTGCCTAGGTTCGCTATTTTTTCCAACGTTAATGTACTGTGTGAATTTTTCATTTTTCAGAAATGTATCGTATTTGTTTACACCAAAATTCAGCAGACGACAGTACGTCTTTCTCATGGTGAACCCTCTGCTCCATTTTGACGATGGTATTTCCAATGATTCTTCAAGGGATGTGCTACTTTGACAAAATTGTGTCACTCTACTATTCACCCTCCTGAAATCGCGGAGTTCTTTGAAGAAGTCAGAATCTTGTTTGGCGATTGTTTTTTCCACCTTTGACTTAAAATAGTCGTAGAGTATATAGTCTGCATAATTCAGTTCCCTGAATCTTCTATCTACCAAGGGGTCACTGACTTTTTTGATAGCGGTATCATAATCCTTCGAATAAGTAGAGCCAGTTTTGTGTTGGGTGTAAAACATGTCGTGCGTTTCCCAGCACAGCATTCTTTTAAGCAGTATCAGACATTCGTCAAAATATTCCAAAACTACTACAAAGTCAAATTCTCGGTCTACATGGTATACATATGTTCTGGCCTCCTCAACTGCGTGAGGAGTGCTCTGGGTGGTGTTGTCCGGCATGTTGTATCCAAGGTAACGTATCATTCGGTTCCAAAATCGAGCTGAATCGGGGGATGCGTAGAACGCAGAGTTCGAAAAGAACGTTTCCAGTTGATTTTTCGCTCCGAGTCCAAAGGCTGCTCCCTTCTGGCGATAGTTGAAAAAAGACTTAAAGGCGCTCAATGGTTCTCTAATAATTGCCGTACGAAAGGCATCGTTTGGTACAAGGTGTTCGTGTTCTTTGATAACCTGGTATCTTACATGGCTGGCAAATACATCGTGCTTATCACTTTGATGGCCGTTCTTGTCCAGACTCCTCAACAAGGAAACCAGACTGAACTTATTTCCCAAAGGAAGCGCTGTTTTTAAGCCGTGCCGAAACCCGAATCTTATGATAATACTGGAAAGGGTGGAGCTCCCGCACTTAGGAACTTTGATGAAGAGGATGTGTTTCTTTTGGTTGCATGGTATGGGCGTGCCGGATGTGTTCCATTCGTCCCGTCGGTATCTTGGCTGAAGAACACGTTGTCTTTTATTGTAGGTGACTCCTTTATAACCTATTGGGGACCTAAAATTCAATTCAGATGACACATTATTTTTTCGGTGTTTTATCTAGTCGGTCTTAACGTCTGATCTGTTTTTTCCTAATCTGTTTAGATAATGCGGAAATGTTAATACGATATGTTATGCGATAATGTTGCCGCATCCAAAAATGCCCGGGTTGCATTTATTTACTTGATGACGTAGTAAAAGCTGCAATATCGATTTCAAGCATAATTTCTGGCAGCTATCAAATTATCTAAACGTCAATGATATGCTGGGTGTAAGCACTATAAAATGATATCACAAAATTATTTAAATGGCTTCCCTGTGATTTTATAATAACCTTACACTTGAAATTACTCCATATTACAATGGACTGTTTACTCTGTGGCGAAGTTGTCTTTATCTTTTACTGTTACGCGAGGTTGTAAATACAACTCTTTTCATGAACTATTCTTTCATGAACTATTTATTAACTACTTTCCAATTGGTCCCCGTGTCACCTTCTTTTCATTTCTATCTCTACCTCATACAATCGCTAGCGGCATTCTCCCGTTTACATTACACGTCATTGTATAAGTATCATAAGAGCATGCAAATCAACTCAGTTCCTCTACAAAACACACCCTGTTCCTTATTCACTCAATCATGGCTGTTATTTACCAACAAAACAACTCTTAAAGACAATATCTGACAAACTAACAACTGCCTCGACAATTTATGACAGCTATTTATAATCCGCATATAAAAGTAGGGTAATTTCCGTAGCGAACGGTTGGTTTGATGGGGAGATCTCGACACCGAGTAACTTATTTTGTCAAACTTGAAAGGTGTAGAAAGTTGATGGACAGAGTAACACCCAATGCAGTCAACAAAGTAAGGAATTTCTTAGCTGACCGTTTATCTTATATTTGTCCGATATTCAGATTGATGAATTCAAGCAACGTTACATATTTTTAATTAATATTTACATGAAAAAAAACCAAAAACGTGGATTTACCCCCATCCCCCTTTTTTTTTGCTAAACGGATCTCAGACAAGAGTGATCTATATAGGAACGAAAAGATTCATAATAAAGACCAGTTGCAAATTATAAAACGAACTGAGCTACTTTTAAATGGCATTTCAGGCTTGTTTACCTTTGAAAAAAACTTAAATACTCACCTCTCATCATAAGCCGGCAGCAGGTATGCAATAACATTCAGTACAAATACAGCACACAGAATTAACGAAAAGAATGTCACCCACAACTTTACTCTTCCAGGAGGCTTGGTTAAGTCGATCTTCAGTTCCATTTTGAGATGTGTATTGTGCTTCTAAATCCTCTTCAAAACAGTGAAAATTAGGGTTTACGTTTACGATGTCGGTTAATTAGACTTTTTCATGTCGAAAGAGTTATTAAATTTATATATAGATAGTGTGATCAAGCTGTTACAGTTATTATCTTTCTCTTTCATAGTAAATGAAATAGTTGACGTATCTTAATTAGGCCAATGGCTTAATTAAATATTAATATACGCAAATATGTATGGCTTGATGCAAGTATCCGGGTAGTACATAACTGTTAACCAATGTCAGAGAAAGATAATAACTGTAATACCTTGTTCACACTATCTACATATAAATTTAATAACTCTTTCGACATGAAAAGGTCTAATTAACCGACAACGTAAACGTAAACCCAAATTTTCACTGTTTTGAAGAGGATATAGAAGAACAATGTAAATATTAATTTAAAACATGTAACGTTGCTTGAATTCATCAATCTGAATATCGGACAAATATAAGATAAACGGTCAGCTAAGAAATTCCTTACTTTGTTGACTGCATTGGGTGTACTCTGTCCATCAACTTTCTTCACCTTTCAAGTTTGACAAAATAAGTTACTCGGTGTCGAGATCTTCCCATCAAACCAACCGTTCGCTACGGAAATTACCCTACTTTTTTATATGCGGACTTTAAATAGCTGTCATAAATTGTCGAGGCAGTTGTTAGTTTGTAAGATATTGTCTTTTAGAGTTGTATTGTTGGTAACTGACAGCCATGATTGAGTGAATAAGGAACAGGGAGTGTTTTGTAGAGGAACAGAGTTGATTGACATGCTCTTATGATACTTAAACAACTACGTGTAATGTAAACGGGAGAAGGCCGCTAGAGATTGCATGAGGTAGAGATAGAAATGAGAAGAAGGCGACACGGGGACCAATTGGAAAGTAGTTAATAAATAGTTCATGAAAGAATATTCATGAAAAGAGTTGTATTTACTACCTCGCGTAACAGCAAAAGATAAAGACAACTTCGCCACAGAGTAAACAGTCCATTGTAATATGGAGTAATTTCAAGTGTAAGGTTATTATAAAATCACAGGGAAGCCATTTAAATACTTTTGTGATATCATTTTGTAGTGCTTACACCCAGCATATCATTGACGTTTAGATCATTTGATAGCTGCCAGAAATTATGCTTGAAATCGATATTGCAGTTTTTACTAAAAAAATCTGCTGTTGCGTCATCAAGTAAACAAATGCAGCCCGGTGATTTTTGGATGCGGCATCATTATCGTATAACATATCGTGTTAACATTTCCGCATTATCTAAACAGATTAGGAAAAAACAGATCAGACGTTTAGACCTACTAGATAAAACACCGAAAAAATAATGTGTCATCTGAATTGAATTGTAGGTCCCCAATAGGTTATAAAGGAGTCACCTACAATAAAAGACAGCATGTTCTTCAGCCAAGATACCGACGGGACGAATGGAACACATCCGGCACGCCCATACCATGCAACCAAAAGACGGACGTGATTTCGGAAAGTTGGAGACCTCAGTTAGAACATATACATGTAGTTACCCAGCGTCGACAAAAAAAAAAAAAAAA